TTTAGCTATACAAAAATAGTTATGTTTTTTAAATAAAATATATTTGGATTTTTTAATATAAGTAATTATCAGAAAGAGTTGATATTGGAAGTATCAAATTTTTTTTTTAAACTCTTTAATAGTTTTGTTAGTACTCAATCATTATGCAAAACTTTATTTACTTTAATTAATAACAAATATTACTATATTAATAAAACAAACAGCCTCATAAAAAATAAGTTTAATATCTCCAAACAGTATTAAATATGCCAGAAGCAATTTGTTACACTAATCTTATGAATAAGTTTGATATACTTTGTCAGCCCATCAAAAGCTAATTTCTCTAATTTTTTTTTCTTGCAAAAGAAAGTATTAGTTTTGTATCTATATTACAAAACTACTTATTATATAAAAAAAAACAAAATATACTAAAAAACAAAAAAAAACAAAAAAAACAAAAAAGAAAATTTAAAGAAAAATAAAAGGAGGTACAAGAAGGCAAAAAGAAAAAACAAAGAAAAAAACCCTAAAAGCCGACAAGACTACATCTATTAAGAAGTAGTTAAATATTAATACAAAGTTAACAGAAAGAAAATTAAAAATAGATACACTATTATAACTCATACCAAGTTTAATAAAATTATATAACAACTGCAACAACTGTATATCCTAACTGTAAAGCTAAGCCTTAATATATATATTTTTTGAATATTAAATATCTCTTTAACTAGCGACTCTGATTCTAGTCACATGAAGTAATACTATATTCTTTAATAAACAAGACACATGGTTGTAGTCTACTAAGTTTGTCTGAATTTGAAAAGTAAACAATGCTAATCTTTTGAAGAAGATAAACCAAATTAATCACTTTTTGGAAAACTAGTGAGAAGTGAAAAAGACCCTAGAAGAGAACTATTTGTATCCAAGAAAAGTATATATAACTTCAAAAGCAATACAACAACTACTAACCCAGGACACTCTACTTTAACTGATAAGTAATAAATTTTAAACTTGTTGGCAAGTAGTATATAAGAACTACTTCTAAATGACAAGTGCTAACTCAAGTAGTAAGTAATAAACTTTGAAGCTATTAGCAGGTAATATATAAAAACTATCTCTAAATAACAGATACTAATTTACAAACTTTATTTTGAGCTATCTATCTAGCTGTTGCAAAGTAGTTATATTTTTTTAAAAAATTATTTTTTTAGAATTTTTGGTTTAGTAATTATCAAAAGAGTTGAATAGTTGTAATCTTAGATTTGGAAGTATCAATTTCCATATAATAGTAAATTTGTTAATTCTTATATTTATATCTTTAATTCTGTATATCCAAGAACTACTAGCCTGATTTTGATAATTTAACTACTATTTTATTTAGAATTATCCTCTTTACAACTTTACTTGGATTTTTAAAATATCTTTACTTAATAAATTATTGTATAAACTTAAAGAAACTATAATCAGATCTACTTTGAGTTCAAAGTAGATCTACTTTGGGTTCAAAATAGACAAAACTAGTTATTTGTAATTAACTTGGCAACTAGTGATCCAATTTGGATAAATTTTTTTAAATAAAAGCTATTAGTGAAGTGCATTTAACAAAAAAAATTATTTAGTTTTGATTACTATATTTTGAAATATTTATAAAAAGATAAATTTTTTTTTTTTTTTGGTGTCAAAATTAAAAGCTTTATTAAGATATAGAATAACTCGATTCAATATTTACATATCATAATATATAGTTAAGATTTGTTAAAGAATTCTAAATCACTTATGTTACTAAAAAATTTTTAGGCATCCAGCGTGACACTATATCTCTATTTTATCTAACTTTTAAATCTAAAGATAATAAAATTAATAACGATTTTAAAAGCAAATTAGGTAAGAGAAAACCTTAAGATAAATTTTTAGTTTTTAGTAAATTGGATTAAAATTAACCAAAACTCAGTTATAATCTATATTAAAGATATTTGGAATCCTGTTCAAAGTAAACCTACTTCAAATTCAAAGTAAATCTATTTTAAAACTCTACTTTAGGTTTAAAATAAATTAACTTTAACTTTAAAATAGACTAATAAATTTAATTTTACTATAATTTCAAAATAAACTAATATTAAATTTTTTCTGTATATTGCACAGGTTTACAGCTAGTTATATAATAAAATTTTTGTAAATTTATGAATTTCTGTTTTTGTAATTTATTTTTTATTCACATCTTTAATGAGTTTCAACAACATTTATCTGTTTCATCTTTTATTAGTTTTGTCATCCTTTGCAATTTCATTAGTTTCATTATCTTTCATTGCCTTTTGTCACCTTCGTCACCTTTCGTCAGTTTTGACACTTCGTTATTTGAAACCAGGTTTTGACTTTTGTCAATGCGAAACCTCAAGGTTTTGTTTAACAACTATATGGGGTCTTTGCCTTGAATGACATTATGGGATTACGTAGATTTTATGAATAAAAATTAAAATTTCTAGCCATCTAAAAATCCAATTCAACCATTTTTTTATTTTGTAGAACTCACTAAGCTCTACAATATAAAAAAAAGTTTATTTGAATTGGATTATTGGATAGCTAGAAATTTTAATTTTTATTCATAAAATCTACATAGTCCCATAAGGTCATTTTCAAGGCAAAGACCCCATATGTGTACAATAAATACAGGTATTATCTTTCATTATAATCAATAATTTTAATGTGGCGCGCGTAATTAATGCTAATTGGTACGCACGTACGTTGAAACTACTATAGGATATAATTTATGAAAATCCAACAATACTTGACAAAATAAGATAAGTATCATGAATGGTTCGTTGAATTATGTTATGCTTAATAGGGAAACGTTATTAATGTTATTTTATTAAGATCGGATTACAAAAGACATTATGTAGAAATTATACGTTATTCGAATTATCCTCCAAAACGTATCTCTTATATACTTTTTCTTTAAATTTTAAGAGAAAAGATGCTTAATTTTAAAATTTTGATCAAAAATTCAAAATTAAGCATCTTTACTTTTGATAGTCACTAACTTTGATAGTTGATAACTTTTCGCGTTTGTTAGTAACCAGTTCCAATAGTTCGTAGCTAACGGGCGATCCAATCCAGGACCCACAGCCGATGTGGCTTACCGATCCATAACACACAAATAAAAAATTTCTATATTAAGCATAACAACGAACGTACACCTAGACATAAAGCTACAATATATTAATTAACTGTATTTGATAGGACGTGCGTACGTACACACCAGATATTTATTACACTATATGAAATATACGCATGTATACAAATACGATAAATGCAAGAATTTTTGATAGTAATAATTAATTAACTTTATCATTATAGCCATTAATTTAACGTTTGCACGTAAGTAATACTAATTAGTACGCACGTACTGTATGTACATATCAGATATATTACTCAAAAAAATTTTTCTTTTTAATTCCTATTCTAATTAAATATTTTAACCAAAAATTGCACATGTGAGTGGCTTTGCTGCCCAGCTTCAACTAATAATTTCCAGAGCTGAGCGAAGATGAAATGGGCAAAGTATTTTTTTCAGTATGGGCTCCGTGTGTGTTTCAGGGAAGTATAAAAATAAGATAAATAAAAATTCTTTCAAATCTCAAATCAGTAATTAACAACATATCTTAGATTTATTTTACAAGTAACGTTATCAATTATTAAAATACATGCCTTTACTTAATTGTATTAAAAATTTTGAGATTTAAATTTACTTGTTTTCACGTGATTGTTTTTGAATAATTTAGAAAATCATATTAATAAAGTTAATTAGTCTTGGATTTGTTGTCAGTTTCTTTACACACATCTCGGCTTCGCTTCTTTCGGCCTTTTCTGATCCAGTTCTACACTTAATGTCATAAAGTTATTATTTTAGCTGTTTAAAATCTCTGGGGCAGCTAAAAATTCTCTTATGACTAAATCAAATCAGAATCGAAAAGGTATCGGCATCAAAAACCCATCGATTCGACAATTTTCAAGTATCCTAGTATTCCATGAAAATAACTATACCATTTTTTTTCCCTATAAATTTTGGCCTCATTCTAATCGTTTCATTCTTTTTATTTATTCATTAAAGAAAAAAATGTCGTTTATTGACAATATATGTCATGTCGCAAAATCAAATCTTAATCATGCTTCATTGTCGCATGGATAGACTGTCATTTAAATTTAAAATCATTGCAAAATTCTTTCACAACGATTCTTCATTATGACATCTTATAAAAAAAATATACATATATAAACGCAGTAACATTTATAAATCTAATTTAATTGATAAAATATGAAAATGAAAATTTTTATCAATACTTGATGTTGCTTCTGGATTATTTTGCATTCAATCAAAATATGCATAGCAGTGGAGCAATAACAATCGCAATAACGATGGCTATTTCAACTTCCATTATTATAAAAAAAATGATGGACGAAATTTCCTTTCCTGGAATTCCGAAATTTTGTTGTGAATTCTCTACACAAATGGTAAATAGAAGCCTATACATGTACAGTACACAACCATTATATACTCCAATAAAATATGCGTTAGTACTACGCTCAGACCTCTCTAAATACACTTCGACAGGACCATATGCAAAAAAATTGTCAATCGTGCATTTAAAAAGGTATCGGGAGTTTAACTGAAATAGTAATTCTTATCTTTTGTTTCTCGGATTTTGATTACATACATTTTTATTTTGCACAATAAATTACATACATTTTTATTTTGCACAATAAATTACATACATTTTTATTTTGCACAATAATTCGATACCTTCATTACAACATTAAGAAAATATCTTTGTTTATTATTCAAACGGTTACATTCTCTAATCACTAAATTTATAGGGCAAACCAGGTGTATACTTATTGAACCAATTAAGCACAAAATTAAATTAAATTTAATTTATATGGTGCATGATCTAAAAATTATATAAAGCCGTTAAGATCTTAGCGAACTCAAAATTGAATTGCAATAATTTAAAATAATTTTAACAATGAACAGACAAAATCTCAACTTACTCTTGACCATTCTTTTTTCTTATTTGTTAATATCAACTATTACCGCTTATTCCCACAACCCTTGTACTACCACTATCACCACGACGATAACAGCAACTTGCACAGATACTCCTGCTCCTACCCTTAGTTGCCCCCCAAATGATGAACGAAGAAATCATAAAAAAAAAAACCATCGTAAAGAAGAAACGATTACTTGTACACTTACGAAAACTGCATGCATTACGCCAACACCTACTATCACTATCACAATAACGGCAACTTGCACAGGTACTCCTACTCCTACCCTTAGTTGTTCCCCTAATAATGAACGAAGAAATTATCAAAAAAAACTCCATCGTAATCATCTAAAACAAAGCAATAATAAAGAAACGGTTACCTGTACACTTACGCAAACTGAATGCACTACACCAACACCAACTTGCACACCCACACCACTTACACAATGTAATTCGAGCCATCCAGAACTATGCTGTACTAAGAGATGTTCTATAGCTGATACTTCTTTCGGCTACTGTTGTTCTGCTAATTCGGGTGAACAATGTGATTTTTCTCGTCCAGATTTATGTTGTTCCTCACTTACATGCAGTCGCGGCACTGGTCCTTTTCCCACTTGTGTATAATATTTTTAGAATGGGTTTTTATCCTTAAATTTTATAATATATTGATCGAGCAAAACAAAGATCATTTAAATCTCGTCAAATAATAGTATTGCCTTCTCTAGACAGTTTTTGGCCTTTTTTTGATAAAGTTAATAGAGCTATTCTTAACACAAATACATAGTTATATTTTTCCAAGTTTAATTATGTAAAGTATTAATGCAGTATATATGTCGTACGTCAGAATGGAATTATTGTGGATTTAGAATCCACCTAGATTGATTCCAAATAAACCTAGGTTGTAATAAAATTCTAAAATGTGCCTAAGTCGTTAAAGTATTCCAATTCAACCTACACTAAAATTATTTGTATTCCATTGAGTACTTTGTTTTGAAATTTAAGTCGCTTAAGACAGTTTATTTATTAATTAAATTTAAAAGCATTATTTGAAGTTTTTACATCCATGGTTTAGTATTTTCGCAGGGTACATATTTTTTTCATTTACAATGAGTTTTTCACATGTATTTTTTTGCAATTACATTTAATATTATCTACTTGTGAGAAAAATTGCATAATAAACACTTCTTGAAGCTTACGTGCATTGAAAAAAAATTCGTTGAAGAAAATTTTTGTGTTCGTTATATCTGAAGGAACGTTCATATATCCAGGGTCGACTGTACTACAGTATCTAATTCTAAAAACTTATAAGTAATCCATAATGCAGGATTTGTATTCAAGCAATATGTTTCATTCGAGGATCCTAAAACCCACCAGAGCTGACCATATCCTCACTAAACAGCTGACCTGGATTTATACATTTCTCTTCAACTGCCAATCAGTATTCACATGTCCACAATATTACCCACAAACTATTTATCTTCATTGCAGGGAGTGTCTTTCGGTCGTTTTCTTACATTTGCTGGATCTATGTAAAACCTTAATACAAAAATCAAAGTCTTCACGTGATATAAAGGTTTTACGTTGCTAAGATATTTGGAAAGCATTTCCTCAAATACATTGAGGCAAAAATGGATAATCTTGAGATTTGGTTGTCGGATAGAATGTTTTGCAAAGGACAAAAAAGTTAAATAATAAAATAATAAAAATTTTGTATTTTATCTTGGCAATTTATCATGTTGATATGATAAAATTTATTTGACAATTACGCATTTATTATGATATCTAATTTAAAATCATCTTGAGATTAAATTTACGATTATCAAATTTAGAATAACTTAGGTTGTTTTTAAATTTCGAATCAATTTGGGTTACATTTGGAATTCCATTTCAACCTAAGTGGATTCTAAAGCCACAATAATTCCATTTCGATGTACGACATATATAATACAAGAGTAGATAGTAAGTACCACAGGGTGCCCTAGGTAATTTTTATTTCAATGAAATAAAAGCACCAAAATTTAAATTTTTTGATTTTTGTTCTTAATAATTTTAAATACTTTGATCTATAAATGTTACTGGCAAATTAAGTGGCATAACAATTTTGTATCTTATTAGATAAATGTTCTTGTAAATGATAGAATTTGTTTTGAATAATAGGGTTTGTTTGAATATTTAAGCATAATTTTAGTATTTCTTCGAGTTTTTGTGCTCTATTGAATAAAAAATCGAGCCTACATAATTTCCTTTCATAGCTTCCTTATTACAGTACATAGATCACATAATTCTTCGACAACTCTATTTAGAAAATCCAGTGAATCATGCTGCGATAAATCTGTTTGGTTTGAATTATTAGCAACCCGACTTTTATCATCACAAATAGTTGATTATTCTATAGATTAATTATTGTAATTCTTTGGTAAGCCTTTTTCATTCGACATTATGTGACTAAAAATAATGATAAAGTATGTTCTTAATTGATGATTTATATGATTACTTGTTACACAAATTTTTGTGCTATGATAACGTCAGCGATTTGAATAAGATCTTTTTGGCTAGTATATGCATGGGGAAATTGCTTGTTATGCTTAAAATCAGCACCTAACATTTTCTTTTTTTTTATTAGTGTTCAAAAGGCAAAAACATTGATATTGACCCATAATAAAATCGGTGCATCGTTATTTACCCATTAAAAAAAAAATCTGATCCATCTTATTGAAATTTGCATGACGTTATTAATAACGAATCCATAAGTTTTAACACTTTCACTCATTGAACCTTCTTTAACCGAAATGAAGCAAAAATTGAAATATTGATATTGATATTGATGTGAGTTGAAAGAGCCAAAGAAGCACCCAGAAGTGTCATTATTAAATCCATTATTATCTTCAGTTCAGGAACGATGAACTACAACAATTACTGTAGGAGCTGCAAACTAATTCTATTGTATAAAAGGGTAAGTCTAAATAAACAATATAATAATTTTGAATTAACTAACTATAAATGGGTTAAAACAGAGTAAAGAAATAATAAATTCATCACCTTCATCTAAAACTACTACACAGTGTGCCTTTTTTCTGATAAACTGGTTGAAAAGACAAGAGTTTGTAAAAACTTGTTTAGAGAAAAAATTTTCTTAATAATAATAATGATCGAATATAAAAAAGTTGCCTACATGATTCAATGAAAAAAAATAATAAGACAAAATAAACGATTAACTTGTAAATAAATAAGCTTTAATTCTCTCTTTGAAGTATTAATTAAAAGGCTCATATGACGAGTGATATTATTCGATAATAACATCAATGGACAAAGATTTTTTATTTTTATTTTTTTAATAGTCAATAATGATGTACTGATTTTTATTGGATTAATAACAATGGTTCAAATGGTTCTACATCAATGTTTTTTGTATACAGTTAGCCGTCTATGGAAAATCTATCGTGATGATAAATTTTCTATAGACAGCTAACTGTACACAAAATATAATTGAAAGTCCCGAACGGCCTTTTTCCCTTGGTAGCACTCATATCCGGCAAACACATATGATCATGAAAAATTTTATTTTTGTTTTTTTTCATGTGTTACTATGTAATTATACTTATTCCAGTATTTAAAATTAAAACTCAGCGAGAGATTCTCTACCAATCATAATTGTCGAATACGGTAATTTGACAAATGATTGGCTACACGTGCCGCTTTGCGACATGTGTTCATTTCTGTTATTCGACAATTTTTGCCCAATAATGTATACGTACTGTGCATTAGCTGACGACTTTTTTTCCCACGCGAACGGCTATACAGAACCTGAGTATCTTAATGCGCAGTAACTTAATTGTAATTATGTAGTTACAATTAAATTTAATGGTAATTATGTACGTACTTACTACGTTGTTACAATGAAATTACTGCGTTGTCAGACCAAAATCGGCGAGTCTGTCGCTTGAACAAAATATGGGTCGTGTAACCACAGAGACACTTCTAATTTAGAACTGACAGTCCATATGCAAATGGATTTATTTTTTGAATATTAACCGAATTTAATAATGATAATATGTGCTTAATAAAATATATTTACATAAACTTTTTTTTCCATGTTCAAAACCAATTACCCCAATATATCCACAACAGCAAATATTAGTTCGTTATAATTGTCTCTCAACTGCTTTATCTTTTATATCTATGTGGCTATGAAATAAGATTATTGTTTAACAGCGTAGCATGAATCAATAATAAATTTCTAAGGCTGAAGCGAGACTAGGAATTATAAAAAGAAATTACTGTAAAAAGATGTAAATCTATGCTTGAAGCAAGGCTAAACTAAATGAGATAATAATATAAAAACCTTTTTTTACTAAATTGTTAATTAATTTATATAGACCAAAGCAAAGAATAAAATTTACTAATGCACTAGCATACTATATTAAAACAGTAGAATTATAAAGCTTATTTTTTATCTATTTCATGGTGTTATATATTATTTTACAAAAATTTATTAGATAGAAACTTTACATCATCTGCTAACTGGATAAAAATTTTCATTTATTATATTTGTATATATAAATTTCTTTAAGATTCTAGTATTATTTCATAACTACACTCAGGAAATACATCTTTTAGATCCAAAATCATTATAACCAATATACAAAGATGTTAACATAGCGTTTTTATTGTCTTTGCAAAGTGTATCTACTAATGCTTTTCCTCCAGTTTTATTATGTTGAAGATCCAAAGAAGTTGGTAAAGTGTTCTTGCAAAGTGCTTCTGCTAAAGCTTTGCCACCTTCTGATCCAAGGCTATTATGACTAATATTTAATTCTTTTAGTGTAATGTTCTTACGAAGTGCACCTGCTAATGCTTTTCCTCCTTCTTATCCAAGTCTATAATATTGAAGATTCAAAAAAGTCAATGTATTATTTTTGCAAAGAGCATTTGCTATTGTTTTCCCTTCTAATCCAAGATTATTGCTCAAAAGATTCAAAGAAGTTAGAGTGGTGTTTTTATAAAGTGCATCTGCTATTGCTTTTCCTCATTCTGCTTCAAGATTATTATTAGCAAGATTCAAAGAAGTCAGCAAAGTGTTCTTGCAAAGCGCTTCTGCTAATGCTCTGCCACCTTTTGATCCAAGATCATTATAACTAATATTCAAATCTTTTAATGTAATATTTTTACAAAGTAAAGAATGAGAAGGATAAAAAAAACTCTTTCCTGTAGATCCCAAAACACTAAATAAACAAATAAATCGCAAAAATAATTCAAAAAACCATCAGTTAGAAGGGAAAGACTTATAATAAAACTAATCCCTTA